TCCATCCCGCGCGCACTCGCCGAGTGCTCGCTCCTACGCGCTGTCTACCTGCAGTACAACTCCCTCTCCGGTGAGATTTCCCCGGAGTTTCTCTCCAACCTCACGAATCTGCAGGTCCTGAACCTGGCGCACAACCTCGTGTCCGGTGAAATCCCCGCTGGCATTCCTGCGAGCGTGCGGGTGCTCGACCTGTCCTCTAACGCGCTCTCCGGCGGAATCCCGGCCAACTTCACCGCCGCCCACCAGCTCCAGCTCATAAATCTCTCGTTCAACCGTTTCTCCGGCGAGATCCCGGCGTCGATCGGAGCACTTCAGCAGCTGCAGTACCTGTGGCTCGACGGAAACGAGCTTTACGGCACGATTCCCTCGGCGATCTCGAACTGTTCGTCGCTCGTCCACGTCAGCGCCGGAGAAAATCTCATCTCCGGCGTGGTCCCGGCGACCATGGGCTCTCTCAGAAGCCTTCAGGTCATTTCCCTGCCGAGCAACCAGCTAACCGGCGTCGTTTCACCATCGTTACTCTGTAACATTTCAGCATTAAATGCCACAATTAGGATTCTTAACTTGAGTTTTAATGCGCTCACGGGTATACAAAGCAATGATGGGGAAACGTGTACCAGTGTGTTGGAAATCCTTGACCTTCACGGGAATCAGATCAATGGCGTGTTCCCCAATTTTCTGCTGAATTTCACAACATTAAGAGTATTAGATATTTCCGGGAATAAGATAGCCGGAATTTTGCCGGGCAATGTCGGGAATTTGGTTGTTCTTGAGGAGCTTAGAGTTGGGAACAACTCATTAACCGGTGAAATCCCTGCAAATCTGACGAGATGTGGGCGGCTGAGAGTTCTTGATATCGGGGAAAATCAATTTTCCGGCCCCATACCGGAATTTTTAGGGGAAATGAAGAACTTAACGGCGTTAACTCTTGGTGGGAACTCGTTTTCTGGTTCAGTCCCAGCGAACATAGGCAGTCTCTTTTCTTTAAAGTCTCTGGATATGAGTGATAACAGGTTGAGTGGGGCTGTGCCTATTGAACTAATGAGGCTGGGCAATCTGAGCACCCTAATACTAAGCAACAACCAATTTTCCGACCAAGTGTTGTTAAATATTGGTGAACTGAGAGGGTTAGAGGTTCTCAACATGAGTGGCTGCGGGTTTTCGGGTGAGATTCCTCCGGGCATTGGTTATCTCCTGAGGCTCAAATCTCTTGATTTGAGCAAACAAAACTTATCGGGCGAGCTGCCCGTCGAGCTCTACGGGCTGCCGGGCTTACAAGTCGTGGCATTGGATGCAAATTCATTATCTGGAGACTTGCCTGAAGGTTTTAGCAGCTTGTCCAGTTTGCAGTATCTCAATCTCTCGTCTAATGCTTTCTCAGGTGAGATTCCGATTACTTACGGTTTCCTCAGATCACTTAATGTACTTTCTCTGTCCGGTAACCACCGTGTGAACGGCTCGATTCCTGTGGAGCTTAGCAACTGTACCAGCCTCGAGGTTTTGGAAGCCAGAGAAAATGAGTTGACGGGCCAAATCTCGGTCGATTTTTCGAATATGTCCAGTTTACGGAGGCTCGACCTGGGCCGGAATAATTTCACCGGTCCAATCCCGGAAAGCATCTTCCACTGCTCGGATCTGGATACTCTGTTACTCGATTCGAATCATATCTCGGGCCACATTCCAGACACATTACCGAACCTAACAAAACTTAGGGACCTTGATCTCTCTTCAAATAATCTAACCGGTGTTATTCCATCAAATCTTTCACTAATCCCTGATTTACAGCACCTGAACCTGTCTCGAAATAATCTCGAGGGCGAGATTCCACCTTCTCTAGCATCCCGTTTTGGCGATCCTTCCATTTATAACACGAACAAGGACTTATGCGGTAAACCGCTAAGGAAGAACTGCGCGAACATTAGTCGACGTAAGAGAAAAAGGTTAATTCTTTTCATAGCCGTGGCTGTATTCGGTAGCCTGATGCTGCTCTTGTGCTGCTGTGGGTACGTGTACAGTCTGCTGAGGTGGCACGCGAAGATCCGGGGAGCGTCCGGGGAGAAGAAGAAGCGGAGCCCGGTTTCAGGTTCGGCCCGGGGCAGCCGGGACAGTGGAGGGCCTCCAAGGCTCGTCATGTTCAACAACAAGATCACGTATGCCGAAACCCTCGAGGCCACCAGGCAGTTTGACGAGGAGAACGTGCTGAGTAGGGGCAGATTCGGGCTTATGTTCAAGGCCACATATGGTGACGGCATGGTGCTCGCCATCCGCCGCCTTCCGGATGCTTCCATCGACGAGAACACATTTCGGAAGGAGGCTGAGTCGCTCGGAAAGGTCAAACATCGTAATCTGACCGTTCTCCGGGGCTACTACGCAGGGCCGCCTCCCGAGACGCGGCTACTGGTCTACGACTACATGCCGAACGGAAACCTCGGAACGCTCCTCCAAGAGGCGGCGCACCACGAAGGCCACGTGCTTAACTGGCCCATGCGCCACCTCATCGCCCTAGGCGTGGCCCGCGGGCTAGCATATTTGCACTCGGTTGGGATCGTGCATGGGGACGTGAAGCCTGGGAATGTCCTGTTCGACGCGGATTTCGAGGCCCATGTATCCGATTTTGGGCTGGATAGAGTCACGGCGGTGGTCGCCGCCACGTCAGCGGAGGCTTCTTCGTCGGCTGCTGGAACGCTGGGATATGTGGCGCCCGAGGTGGCGTTGAGCGGCGGCGGCCTGGTCAGCAAAGAGTCGGACGTGTACAGTTTCGGGATTGTTGTGCTGGAGATACTGACGGGGAAGAAGGCGGTGATGTTCGGGGAGGATGAGGATATTGTGAAGTGGGTGAAGAAGCAGCTGCAGAGAGGGCAAGTGAACGAGCTGCTTGAGCCGGGTTTGCTGGAGCTCGACCCGGAGTCATCCGAGTGGGAGGAGTTTCTGCTTGGGATAAAAGTTGGGCTGCTATGCACTATGCCCGACCCGTCAGAGAGGCCCACTATGACGGACGTTGTGTTCATGCTTGAGGGCTGCAGACTC